GGGGGGGGGTTACCTTGGTTGGTTATTGGTTAAGGGTTACACAAGCCAAAAAATCATTATGACATCATAAAGTGGCCAAAATCTGATCAGCTCATTTTCAGACAGGTTTTGCTCCCCATTGAAATCAGGAAGGAAGAAAGCTTGCTCATCTTCCGACGCAGACTGAAAACTCATCTCTTTCGACTCCACTTCGAGCGATAGAATTACTAACAAAGCACTTATACTAATAAAGGACGGACTTATCTAAAACCAGTTGAGTAGCACTTGAAATGTTTTAGCTCAGTCTCAGGAAACCTGATGTACTTATATGATTCTGTTTTCTTCAAGTTTGTATCTTGTTGGTCGAATGCACTTATTGTAAGTCGCTTTGGATAAAAGCGTCAGCTAAATGCAATATAATGTAAAGTTTTTATATAAATGGATCAGGATATAAAAAGAGAACTAATCTTTTGTCCTGAAACTTTCAGAATCTCTTTACACAGAGGGGACACATGATGATGTATAAAAGACATGAAAAAGTGGATTTTGCATAATAGGTGACCTTTAAATAAATTACAGATGAAGGTGAAACTGCTACAAAAATATATAAGTAAAAAAAGTATAAAGTCATTTCAGTCTTTCACTCTGCTTTCTCTTGAGTAGTTGAACTGATAGTGGCATTCCAAAGTTGAATTGTGCATTAAGGATCATTTGTATTTGTATACATACTAATACAAAAAAATAAGAAGTGCATTCTGTAGTGAGTTAAGGAATTTGGACACAGCAAATGCTTGTGCTGAACAGCTACGGTTAAAATTTATTTTAAGTAGTTTACCAAAAGAGGGCAGTAGCAGCTTACCTTAAGCTGCTGTGATTGGATCATTGGCGTTTCCTGAAGTCTTCCTGCTCCCTGCTGGACGCTCGCTGCAGATGCACAAAGCTGCGGATATCTGAAAATCAGCAGGGTCAGCAAAACATGGATGAATTGTTCAAAAAAATAAGGGACATGTTTAATAAATTTTCAGATCATTAGAAATGTTTATTATTATTGAACACAATCCTTTTTAGACATCATACCTTTTGGAAGTACAGTTACACAAATTGGTCTTATAATAGCATCAAAGAAAATAAATCCATACAAAAATAAATGGTTTGCAAATGGTTTGTAAAATAACAACAAAGTTCTTCGTAAAAATACAAATGCATGACAAATCAAAAGGGTTTCTGAGCAATTTTATAACGTACACAGGATCCAAACACTTTGCAAATGAAGTGGATTAATACAAAAATGACCACATATGGAATCAGCAGATGATCATTTTTCATTTTGGTAAGTGTAGCTTATAGACAGAAACAGTGTTTTCTAGTTTGTTGAGGAACATGATAAAAAATGTAATAAAACAGTGGATTTTTTTATTAGCTAATTTGCATAGCTTAAGCACAACTTGTTTGATTAAAAAATGCCACTATGGGCCTTGATTATGTACAAATAAACACATAACGTCATCCCACATGTTAGAATATCTGCTATAACTGTAAATGTGTTCTTGATACTTGGTATGAACATGATTCGTTTTAAATATATACAATACAACAAGTCTCACTGGCCAGTTGGTGCCCTTTTTGGTCTCAGTGCATCTATGATAACCAGTATAAAAATCTTAGTTTTAGAAAATACAGTGAAGACAAATGGACCCGGCCGATAGCAAGTTACTTCACTGACGTTAAAATTAGTTACACTGACAAAGAAGATGAGAAAAGCACAACTTTAGTTAATTTGTGACAAAGATAACGCCATGCCAAGGGTTAAAGATACTGTTTGCAAAACAATCAGGTCCTCGTCTCAGCCTTCACTACGTTCTCTTCAATACTTTTCCACATCTAATCTGAGGAGATAAAACGAAGAAAAATGGAGGGCAAACAGAGCCGGAGCAGTGTTATCACAGGTGTTTGAAGGTCAGCTGACCTTCAAATGACCACACCCTCCTGAACACTCAAACCAATGAGCTGAATCTTTGGAAAAGGCAGTGTTTGCTGTGGGAGTGGCAACAGTTAAGCGCCCTGCTTCCATTTCTAGACAAAAACATGTTTTTATACATAACTGATCACGATCATCATTATTAACATACAGTATGTTCCCTATGTGTATGTGTCGGCTCTGTACAGGTAACTTTGGTCTTGGCATGTCTCATGAGTCTTTGTTTTGGAGTGTGTGTTGGCCCGTGTGTGTGTGGGTGTCAGGACTCAGTGGCTTCATCAGTGGTTCTTGTCGTAGTCCTTCACCATGCCTTTGATGTGGAACAGCTTGTGTCTCAGGCTGCGACACTCTTTCTTCTTAGTCTGGTAATCTGAAGTCTACAGAGGAGGAAGGGCAGCAGAAAAGTCAGAAATAATACAAAGCAAACAATACAAACACAAGGATTTAAATAATACTAGACAGGGAAAATGTAAGCTCTTCTGCTCCAAATAAACAGTGATATTAGTGCTGTGATAAACATTCAGGGAAAAGGGTTCGGAAATATATTTTATGTTGGAAAGAATACTATTAAAACTTAATGAGAGGTCATTGTGAAGCTGGATGTTAAGAACGTAATGCTTTCAAAAATACATGCAATACATTTTTAATAAATGGTGTGATGTGGTGAGTCCAAAAGTCAAAGTTCATTATACTAATCAAGTCAGATAACAGAAAAATAACCAAAAACTAGTTCGATAAACAATGAATAGTAATTATTCATACTTAAGATATTTAAAACATCGCCTTGAGAAAATGGGGTGGCTTTTTTGACTATTTTCTAACCATTTATAGACCAAACCACCAAAAGAATCATCTTATTAATGATGAAGAAAATAACAATTAGCTTATTATGGAGGCTTGTTATTAATTGTATCATCAGAGAAGTCTCCCCACCTGCTTCAGATCCTTCAGCTGGTTATATTGCTCAGCTGCAGCCTGTGGAAAATATAGGAAAAACATTTGTTATGATTCTGTGTCCCTCACAAACAATCTTAGGTTAATAAACAAATAAAGTCCTGTATTTCTGTATATCATTTTGATGCTAACTGAGACTCAGTTTAGGCTCAAACACGCCTGCCTCGTGAGTGTGGGAGGTGAGCACTGAGTATATCTGACCTGGTATTTGGGAGAGGTCTCATCCAGCGTGTCCACCTGCCGGCTGAGTTTGTTCAACTGATCGTTAATGTCGTCCATCTCAGCACACAGGCGCTTGTATCGCCTGAGGTCGGCATCAAACTCTCTCTTATACTCATGACGCTGATCATCAGTAGTTATGTCTGGGTACGTGCTGGAGGAGGAGGAGGAGGAGGATTCGTAGTCGGACTTCTTAGGTCATGTCCACTTGAGCTGTGAGACTAGGGCCAGGTCCTTACCTTCAAGGTTTCGACTCGGGTCAACCTGGTTCTCGTCTCACACCTGTCCTGTCTTATGCGAGTACGTTCATTCTGTCCCAACCCCGAGGGTGGCTGTGTGTGTGTGTGTGTCGGTTGTGTGTGTGTGTGTGTGTGTGTGTGTGTGTGTGTGTGTAGTGTGTGTGTGTTGTGTGTGTGTTGTGTCTGTGTTGGTGTGTGTGTGTCGTGTGCTGTGTGTGTCGTGTGACACCAAAAACGAAACTAATAGATAGGCCAAACTCCGAAGTAGACCATGAACTGGTAGCGCCCACTTTTACACACGTAAGACATTCCTTTTGAGTGACGATTATCTGCCGATGCCCTTCATACGTCCCCCTCTTAACGAACCGTCTCATCGTGAGATTGTGCTTAGGTTCATATTATAACCATAAACTCTTTTACTGATCTAACTTATTAATACAGCTTACTTTCTACCTTAGTTTGGTAGCTCACGGCAAGTTTTCAATATTTTAGTGTGCCTATAAACGTCACTACAATGACTTCAGTTTTAACGTTATATAACATTTTATTTCTATAACACCCCGAAGACCACTAGGTTTGGATCCGTTGTCATTTTACTTGTGTACGCAAGTACGACTATATTTGCTGCTTAAAGGGGTTCCCCTTATTTATTTCAAGGGTTGAAAGATAGGAAGTAGAATAGAGAGTCAGTTGTTGGATGTCCGAAAATTTCCAATAAACTTATTTACGAGAGGAAAGGGCATTGTTTGAAAACTAGTAAAAAATAAGATTTCACAGGTCAAATACAACGACAGGTCGTCCCATGCGCCTCTCCTGGTAGTCGTCTGGTAGACTCCGCTGAGGAGTGGCCACCTTCTTAGTCGAGGTCGGGGGTGGGGAGTCTCCTCTTGGTCGCCCCCGGCGTTTGGGAGCCGGATTCGGCCCGCTCGTGCGCATGCATTGGGTCTATACCTCGCTCAGCGTCTACTCTTGTCTCATGTGGTTGTCCTCCTTTTGCCCGTTACTTGACTGCTCTCTCCTCAACCTCATTCACTCTTTACTAAACATGAAAAAAAGAGCTCGAGGAGTAGGAACCAGCTCAATACAATTTGTCCTCTCCACCTTTACTGTAAATCAGAGTTCTTTTTGTAGTTTGCTACTCTCACACTAGACCCAGCGGTAGTGCGTCCAAGTGAGTTGTTCCTAGGTATTTCTACGACCTACCTGCAACTAATTCTTCTACTCTTCTGACTTCACCGGCATCCCCTCTTGTTTGCCCTCTTGCCGCTATTGGGTCTATACCCCAGCGTCATACTCTGTCCATGTGGTGTCCTCCTCTTTGCCCGTACGACGCCTCTCCTCACCCTCCTTCACTCTTACTAACATGAAAACAAAGAAGACTCGACGAGTAGAAACAGCCTATTCTACCTTTACAGAATAGGTTTGTGAGTGCACTAAGACAGCGAGGTAGTCCTCGCTGGATTAACAACCTAATTACTACTACCATTCGGAATCTTTTTGTCGTTGATCGTATCACTGTACTAATTACCTTGACGTCTTCTTGAGAAAACCTATCTCATGTCTGTCATTTATTCTTGTCTACGATTGCGGATCGCCCTTTCCGATGTTCAGACAGGTTCGCTCGCAATTAAGACTCCTTACGGTCAAGTGTACCCGACATGAGTCCTTATTCTCTCAACCGGTTCCATGTTGTACCTCAGTTAATCAAATACTCCTTCGACATACAAAATCGGACATCAACTTAAGTGAGTACCGACAAAAAATAAGGAGAATTTGACTCGGAGACGCAAACAACCAAGCGTCGTTTACAAAAAATCAGAAAGATGTGAGAAGTTATTCCCAGTTCTCCTCAAGAAATCTCTGATTACCGAGTTAACTAGTTAACTCACCCAATTTTATATGTTATATACCTTAAATTAAACAAACGGATAGACATCTTAGTACAAAGAACTGTGAGGAGTCCATTGTCTGCCCACTATACGAATTACATAAGACACTCGGGAATTCGATACGATTCTACTAAGCTACAATCGGAATACTTGGTCCACCCTTGTTAAAACTGTTCTAGGATGTCCTTTGGTTTGCTCAAGAGCAATACACGATCTTCTTGTACGAAGAGTTTCAGTTGAATAACAGTAGAGTTTTATACAACATGTGTGCTTCTAATCATGACAAAAGCGTTCAGGGCTCCAGATTTGGTTTATGTTAATTTTACCGTTCTTCTTAGTTAGTAATGTTTTTGTGTTTATGCAAATTCAATTCGTTCTTTATATATTTTGCTTCTAACATGTATCACGTTGTCCACCGTTAACAGTATCTCCATTTCACTGTGAGCCTCGCCTAGAAAAACAACAGACACACACACCGGCCCCATAATTTAAGGACCAAGATCAATCGTGGAAGTAACGACTACGCCAGCAGAAGTGGAGAAGAGAAAATGGAAGGGAGAGGAGAAGGNAAACTGATTTTTGTACATAATGTGTGTATATATATATATACATATGTAATATATTTATAATATCAGAATGAAAATCCCATGTACATTATTTAAGCTTTTAAATGTTAAAAGCTTAAATAATGTACATGGGATTTTCATTCTGATATTATAAATATATTACATATGTATATATATATATACACACATTATGTACAAAAATCAGTTTTTTCTGTCTTTATCTGTGCCACGCTTCAAAGCAGTTTCTGTCAACTACAACACAGAGGGCAACATCACAGGCTCCTCCTCCTCCGTTTAAAAAAACTAGCTTATAGCTTGACTCACGTTCAGAGTTCTCTTCGTCATAGTTGAATCTTCAAAACTCTAAATCTATCTAACTATATCTAAATTCTCAATGTCTGTCTGTCACCTTACATCAATCGCAGTCTTTCTTCGTCTCCCGCCTGTCTTCGTATATCTTCGTCTCTCTCCATTTCCCGCCGTCCCTCTTCGTCTCTTTTTGTCTCACTTCGTATCACTCCGTTTACCTGATCACCTCACCCACTCCCTGGTAAATACATCCTGTTGAGCAGGATCTACAGTTTCCAGTATGTTCCGTTTCGTAAAATGATAAAATACGGCGAAGATATTAAAATATGTGCTTCCATTTTTCATACTTTTGAAATATATTTGTATTAACTTTATATCATCCCATCTCCGTGTTTGCTGGGTCTTTTGCATGAAACAAAGACTGGCATATAGTTTCAAGACAGTACTTTTGACGGAAACACACGGCAATGTTGTCCGGACTGTTATTTTTATGCTGCACCGGCTTGAACAGGTCATGTGATCTGATCACGCCGGCGTGACGGTCGACTCCAAAGGGTTAAAGTAAAAAACCTATATTGATTCTGACTTTTCTACATCCAACTCACAGGTTTATCATTGCTTTGAGAAAAAATATTATTAATTTACCCTTTTTAGAAGTGAAGATATAGTCATTTGTTCTGGGAATGTCATTTTGAGCCTGAGACCTGAAAAAAGGCTTGGGGCTTAACAGGTTAATTGATAAAAATAATAATAATGAATAAACAATGTATTAATTGAACGTGATTGGCCACTAGGCGTTATAAAACAAACTTCCACAACAAGCTAAAAGACACGCAACCCTAACTATAGAAAGCATTTAGCATTGGTCATCTTTTTTAAAGTCATTTTATTGTCTAGTTCAAGAATTTAAATCCAATACTCACTTGTTTCTTCACCAGCTATTTGCTAATTTAGTTTGGCGACAAACAGTTAGCACAAAGAACTTGACCAAACGCTTACTGTGTCTGCAGGACAGTTTGAATTAAGTATTCATTTAATAAAGCCTTGAAGAAACAGAAATTGTTACAACTACAATTTTTTGTTTCATCACTTTTAAACATACATTACAGGTTTTCATTTAGTTCCTTGCTTGTATGAAAAGAAAACGTTGATTGCAGAGGACGAAAGTGCATTACATTGTCTTATTGTTCCTAAAAAGCTTGCAACCAAGAAAAGGTTAACTGTGAGCAAACATGAATAGATAACATTTATGAAGAACCTACTATTTAAGTACAATAAAGCACAATTCAAGTTTAATATGAAAGGCTCATCCTCAGTTGCATGGAAGATAAAGCACATGTTCACCCTGTTGGATCATCAGAGGGTCAAACTCTCCAGAGATAAAGAGGGACCTCAACAATCTTTCCAACCTTTGAAATCAATCTCTTTGTTACAATATGAGGCAACTCAGGCAGTTTAACACCAATGAACCCACCGGCCTCTTTTACTGTTACTCAACCTGTTCTTCACCCGCGGAAAGGTTTCCAAATCATGTAATAATAAAACAGTAATGGTTTAATCTACCAAGTTATTAATTAAACTACGTTCTAAAATCAGGACACTTTATTGCGTTAAAACAATAAATGAATCCATACCGATCTAAAATAACCCACTGCAAATAGAATAAAAACAAATCAAGCTTCATAAAGCACACATATTTATATCTCACTGCTCTTCAACCATGACTGTTTTACATTTAAACTGGTCAATTATGTTTCACTACTTAGTCTTTATCACAAGGCTTTAAATCACAGTGCTTTAATACCGTGTATAAATGGTAAATACAATTGGAGTTTGACTAAAATCAAACTGCCTGTAAGCTTTAAAAAAAAAAAGTGTCTTCTTCCATCCGAGCTGGCATCTTTGCCAGTGGTTTATATTATCAAATGGAAATGGTCTTGATTTACAAAGGCAATAAATTGTAAAATAATCTTAATTGTTAGTCTGAACTGAAACATCTTTGTTGTTTTTCTTCTGAATCTTCTTTTAAATTGTTGTATTACTGCCAAATTGTATTCCATTCTGTTTATATGTAAATACTAGGGCCGGGACTCGATTAAAAAAATGTATCTAATTAATTAGAGGCTTTGTAATTAATTAATTAATCGAAATTAATCGCATTTTTAATC